CCCCCCCACACACACACTTTCATCGTCACCACCTTCACCACGACATCCGCATTCTATGACATCTCATTTCCTCCAGCTACTTCATCTCTGTACTTAAAATGCTCATTGGATCCCTGGAAAATCATTAAAATCGTTTTAAGCATTTTATAGCCACAGATATAGATGCCAACCCGTAGATTGCTTCCGTATGTTGTCCAAAGGCCCAGTTCCCAAGTCATAAAATTCCCCACATCTACAAAGCTGTATACACTTAATGAAAGCTTTTCATAAAAACTAGGCCACCCTTTCTTGCGTGACTGAAAGAGTCAGGAGTCTTTCAGAATACCTGCTTGTCAATGAGAAAGAGACTAAGTAAAAAAACACAACCTACCTGTCACGTCTTTAACACAACTTAAAGGACTTGTCACTTCTTTAGAGCAGACCTTATGATACGATTTTCTTTCTTCCTCTCGGAATTACCGGCCCCTATGGTGTGTCGACTAGTTTCTTCGCTGTCGCACCCAGAAGACCCGTGTTTCATTCCTGTGTGGAAAGAATTTTTATCGAATATCTCGGCCTTTCTGCTGGGATGTTGTATCTCTTTCAGCCCGGGTGTGTCCTGACAAGCAGGGTTGGAAGCCGGCCTCCTAAATTACCTGAAATGTGTCTATACACACCTTCTGTTTTGGATGAAGTTGAGTTATCGATTCCACCTGATAGCATAAAACACGGCGCCCATTCCTTACTTTAGTCATGTATCGAAGTCTTACTAAATAAGGTGTGGAAAGCGTTTTGAAGATATTCGAAGCAACTGGCTGTATAGAGGCAAAGACGTGTTTTTTGGCTCTACTGAACATTTTACGAAACGGGATATACTGTCTTATATATATATACTGTTTTATATATATAAAACTTCAGTAATGTTGAAGAGACATTTTCAGGTTATCTTTGTAGCGCTTACTTTTTAGTGCAACAGCACTAGGACAGCTGCCCAGAATAGAATACAGCCATTACTTGCTATTTTGATAACTTTTGGTATCTGTGTTGGTATCACACCGATAACACCACCACTTCACCTCTCGCCCTTTCTGTCCCTAACTTTTGTGACGTGGCAATGGGGTTAGCTTGAAACTTGAATATTTTATGGACATCCATAATTAGGTTATTCTCAAACTGATGACAATGGCTGGAAAGCACATATTGATGATGGCAGGAATGAATTTTTATACACCAGTTAGTTTTCATTTCTATTCTTGTACATGACCGAGATTGTAGTCAATACAAAGAGCGTTAACTCATACCAATAAGAAGCAGCATTCGTTTGCAACCGTTCTATCAAAGATAGGCGTTGAATGGGAAATCACGTCCCTTTTTTTAGTTCAAAAAAGTATTTGTATGTGGGATTAACCTCATACCACTGTTACCACCATTCGAAGTTTTTCTTTAGTTAATAAAGGCTGTGCAGGTTGCTGGAGTGCGCCTTTCATAGACCCTTCTTCTGTCCTTTCCATCTGGTCTTTCTGTCTGTCTGTCTGTCTGTCTTATTCTTTCTCCGTACTAAATAACCGTTACTGTGTGGATAAGTTTCTTTTTTTTTTACGGTTTAAAAACTATTGAAAAAATCTCCTTTTCTTCCCCAGCACCAACCCCCCCCCTCCCAAACAACCGTTATTGCTCTGAAACTTTTTTCTTTACCCAAACAAAGAAACAAAGAAACAGTTCAAAGACCCAAGACGACTCGTGTTACCTCTTATGTTCTTCGTGGTACCAGTAAGCGACCGAGAAACTGTGGGAGAGGGCAGTGTTCTACTTACTCATGCACCGTGCAGTGACACTGAACTCCAACACACTTGGGGGTCGCTGAACTATTTGCCTAGAGTCCCATAGCCTTTTCTTCTACGCTCTATAAACATATTTCACTTCCAATATGTAAAATACATTTGTGTGGCATTGCGGTGAAATCGGGAGCTCGTCAAAATTATGAAATCGAAGAAATTGACCTTTTCCATTTTCCACCCGCTGTGGTTCTCTTCACTCAAACACGACTCTTTTATAGCAGCAAGTGACAGTTTTTATGTTGAAGTATGTTTGTTTGCATATTATAAATTTATTGAAAAATCAAAACATTCACACACACAAGTAAAATTACTTCGTGCATGTTCTCTTCATAACTGAACCTCTTTAGTATTTAACTCTTTCACGACGTCGCAGACGCGCATGTCACTTAGCCGCAGAAAAAAGTGTTGTTGTGGCCCATTTTGAACCATCTCAGATAAATCGGAAATACATATTTGTAGATCTCATTTTTATTATTATTATGCATAAATACAGATGTTATACTTCTTTTTAAAAAAGCCATGACATGACGAAAGACACACAAACTGTAAATTTGCAGCTTCCAAGGACATGCAAATTTTAGCGACCATTTCCTCGTTTGTTTTATCTCTGACACCAGGTGCTCCCCGTCCCTCTGACCTCCTTCTTTAATCATGAATATAATTATCTCGACTTCAGTTCATGAAAATAATTTTTTTTAAAATCTCTGAACGAGATTATACCGATAAATCCGTATGCCCCCAAAATTAGTCGCTTTTAAGTGGGCTAACCCAGATTTCGGGGGTTTACAGAAATCTTGACCTTCACCAAAAAAGGGAATTTTCTTACCTATAGGAGAAGTTTGGTTTCATTGGTGTGTATAATTGCTTGGTTATGGAGAAAGTCTCCCTGTCTTTTACAGAAACTGCACAAGGGGCAAAAACTTTACCTTCGTTTTTCTCAAAACAACATTTTTCGGGATAGCCCCCTTGTACTTTAAAGCGACCATTGATGCCTGATGCTACCGTGTCGTAGCACGTAATAACGCTCTGTTCAGACCAGGTTAACTGACGTCAGTGGTCAACCGGTAAGGTGCTTCGCCGTCGCGCGCTGAAGACCCTATTTGGATTCCCATGTGGGGAGGATTCTTATAATTTTTATTTAGTATCTTGGTCTTGCTGTTGGGACGTTGCATTCTTCTCAGCCTGGGTTGATCCTGACCGGAACGGTTGCGGCCCACCCTCTAAAGGATCTATAACACTATCGCTGTGGGCGTAAAACCCCTACATTTAATAGAATAAGAAATGTAAAGAGTTAGGCCTGGGTTATCCGAGACAAGATTACACGACGCAGTGACGATCAAAGTGGGTGGTTGGCGGCTGCTCTAGTGTGGTTTGCTCCTTCTTTCCTATTAAACATTTATTGTCCTTATCTCTCCCCCTTTTTGTGTTTATTACTCTCTCGTAACATCTTTAATCTTTGGCACTTATACGACTTAATTGTGTTGCAAGTGTCGCAAAACCTTTACTGAAACAAAAGTAAAACAAAATGCAACAATCGAAATTGTGATGATAAAGGCGTACAGCAAGCGGATATAGGTTTTCCTTTTAGAAGATTACTTAGACAACATATATGGCGTTTCCTTACAGAAAATATGTAACTTGGAAAAGCAATTCTGTGTAGAATCTACCCAAACATGGCGCAGGTGGTTTCTGACTTGGCTGTCAAACGGAAGTGCTTCGGGTTGAAGTGGGGTGGCCACATTCATTTCGGTCTGGGTATATTAGTCCACTCAGCTCATGTTTTTATCGGGGATCAAATACTCTGCTTTCGAAACGTCTCTGGTGTGCCAAGGAATAGGTGTTGAGGATAGTGGGGGAGAAAAAGGGGGGGAGGAGAAAAAAAAGAGAGGGAGACAGAGGGAGGTGAGAGGGGGAAAAGGGGTGTGTGAAATAGAAAGAGAGAGAGAGAGAGAGAGA